TACCCTATCTTATTTCAGCTGTTCTTCAAAAGATACTATGAGCCAGACTTTTACCCAGTGCACTTCTAAAAACGTAATACCATGTTTTTCCCCAAAACATTTGCTCTAATCTTTCTTTCTGCTTCTGTAGGGAGAAAAAAGAGCTGAAGAAGCAGATGGATCGAAGGAGAACAGAGAAGATCAACCAAGCAAAGACCAAAGAGAAACATCTGGCTGAGGAGTACGATCTATAAGCACACGCGCACACATTTCACTATTTATCTAGCTGCTGTAGCTTGCTCATCTGCTTCATGCACTGATCCACTGATCTAGTCTCATTAGAAGAGAAAAATATTTATCTCAGAGCCAATCAATGTCAATCCATCTGTCTCTATGTTCCCAGGGAGAAGATTGAGATCAATAAGTCCTACGTCAATGAAGTCGTCCAGAACATTAAAAGGGTGAGCAGCAGATGAGGTTAAAGGAATTTTTATGGGCCTTTCCATAAAGTGAATTCCAAAGAGACAATTATGAAAATTTTATGGCTGCAACACTCTCCCCATTTAGTGCAACTCTGTCTTTCTGCAATCATAAAATGCTCCATAAAACTGTGTGTCTGTGTGTTTATCCTCAGCTTGAGGAGACTCAGGCAAAGCGCCACGAGCAGCTGGTGGAGCAACACAATGATCTCCTGCAAGAGATACAAGACCAGAAGCCAAAGGTAAATACGAGTTTCTCTTTCTGTCCCCAATTAAGTTCATTTATTTTTAGCCAAAGTCGGTGAAATCTGCCACCGACCACTTTGCAAGCTTCATGCTCAAATGCACTGCTTGGCAAGAACATTTCTTGTACACGAGGCTCCAAACTGGTGCTGCCGTCTGCCCACACCCACGCACTTTAGAGGCAGCGCTGACGTCAATGTGGGGCATTTAAAGGATGCAATGTGGCCTCTGGCAGCCATATTGGAGCTGTTCGAGTGTTGGCAGAAACAGCTGACAACAGCTGGTTGCGTTTCTGAATGTACAACCCATCTGTCTCAACTGTAGGACATAACTTAACAAACTTGTGTGGTGTTTCTGACTGGGACCTGACTCATCATGGTTATATTTCGCTACATCTGCCGTTACATAATCCCACCTTAGCCACAAAATATCTTTAAAAGCAATCTATCCTCAGTGAGCAAGCGAATGTGTGTGGTGTTTTCCAGCTGCAGGGCTCTGTGGAGGCAGAGTTTCAAGAGAAGTTCCAATGTTTGCCTGGAGAGATTCACGACTTCCTGCAGGACAGGAAGTTGGAGGTTCGAGGCCACAGCAAGTCACGACCTTCCACCCCACACGAAGCTCTTTCAGAGGAGGACTGAAGAGGGGGAAAAAGGATGAAGGAGCGATGGGGAATGAGGAACGAGAACAATTGGATCAATGGAAGCAGCGTGGAGTAGATCAATGAAATGCAAAGCATGAGAATAAAAGATAACAAGAAGTATTGATGAAGAGGACGCGAAAGAGTAAATAATCAAGTTTATATAGACTGTTACTTCTTTTTAATGGAAGAATGCTTTAACAATTTATTTTTTATTCCATTCTAGCATGAACTTTGTGTGTTTAATACAAGTGTTTAATCAGACCCGGTTTAGTCTTGCATTAAGTCTTCTATTCTGTCATCTGTTATTTTAGACCTCAACAGTTTGTACTGCATGACTGCATATCTATCTATCTATCTATCTATCTATCTATCTATCTATCTATCTATCTATCTATCAATCTATCAATCTATCTATCTATCTATCAATCTATCAATCTATCAATCTATCAATCTATCTATCTATCATCGATCTATCTATCTCTATCTATCTATTGATCTATCTATCATTTGAAGATCACTGAACATACATCAGGCTCTGTCTTATTGGAGATAAATCTTTACAAATGTAGTTTTCAACAGAGTTTCAACAAATTCTAAGCAGCTGTTTGCCCTTTTTACTTGTCCAGTCTGCTATAACAATGTCAAAAATGTTAAAAACTACAAAGCTAGAACAATTTCATCCTGGAGTCCTCGGCGCCATGCTTTTACAAACACAATCAGCACACTTGGTCTGGTGCTGCCAAGAATAAAATGCACTGTAGCATTTGTTTGAGCTGAGAGTTTTTAAAACAGAAGCACTAACGTCTGGGTTTTGTTAAATCTCTCAAGGACAGAAAAAGACATTTTGCAATTCACAATTCAAGTATCTCCACTCCAAGGCTGGCTGAACTCACAGTTGGAAGCTGTTACTCACTAAATCTGGATCAAACTCTTTTATTTAGAAAGACAGAAAGATTAGAATTTAAGGGGTTAATACATGACAACAGTTAATGCTGTATTTTTTATGCATTTATTTATCACTGTTATTATAAACGCTTTCTTTTCTTTTCTTTTTGGTTAGCATCACTAACCAAAAATCAGAAGGCTACATGCCTGACTTCCGAGCAGCTTTGCAGCTGGGATGTTGGTGATTTTGTCAGGGACAAATGCAAGAGAGGCAAATGTTTTACTTTTTCTGCCTACATCCTGATATTAATGCATTTAATTTTATTTATTTTAAATC